TCAGAATTATATTCCAAGTTGTTGACAGTTGTACTGAGTCACACCCTTGTTACATGTATCCGGTGTGACCTTAATGAATATAGATTCTGTTATAAGTCTTTCTTTCCATTTGTTCATGTTCGTTTTTAGAACACTCACATTGTTCCAATCGATAATATGGTTTTTGTTCCATGCAAGTGCAGCTATCAATGAATTTTTTTCAAGATTCTTGTAGGCTTGTGTTCCTGTTGGTTGACCTTTGGTTAGGCGTTCATGTTCATTCACTCTTATTTTGAGTGATCTGGACGTTTGCCCCACATATTTAGTCGGACAGTCAGCACAAGATATTTTGTAAATCAAGTTGTTTTTATCCATCATTTTTATGGGATCTTTCAGTTGATTTATTTTTAATTAGATTCGTCGATTTAAATGTCGTGCGAATCGCAATATTTTTCAGGTTTCTTCGAATTGCCTCTGATGTACCATTTTTATATGGTATTGTGACTGTTGTTTTGCATTCTTCCATCTTGTCATTCTCCGGTTTTACCCTCTTTTTCTCTTTTTTATATTATCTTTTATAAATTGTTTTGGGTAGTTGTTTTCGAGTAGCATCTTGAATAGGACGTTTATTTCTTTACACTGGTCCTCTGGTGTTGTTGTAAGTCCACGTATTCTATCTGCAACACCTTGTGTTAATTCTCGTTTTACTGTAAGTGGATGAGCTGAGTGATAATCAGGGAATCTTCCAGAGTGTGTGTTTTTTCTATATAGTGTCGTTTTTATGCTACCATCTGTTTTTTTGTATTTCGCTGTCTAATATAGGTAGTTCCCCATTTTCATTCTCTATTTCCATAGTGAATTTTATTGAGTAGACATGACTGTTTATGTGCGAGAAGAATTTCTCAACATCGGTTTTTTAATTATTACTAACGTGTCGTTTACATATCTCCGCCGACATTTTGTTGGTGACCTGAATGGTTTTAGTGCATACTCTTCCCCAAATATCCATGAATATGTCAGCTATTATCGGTGAGATGGGCGATCCCATAGCTACTCCTTCATTTTGTTGGTATATTTTCCCTTCAAATGTGAAATATGTTGTTGTCAGACAGAATTCCACTCCTTTGTTTATCTCTTCTATTGATAACTGTGTTTTGTCTTTTAGGCCATTATCTTCTTTTAATCTCGCTCTCAGTGCATTCATGATCATTTGAATGGGTATTTTAGTATAGAGACTGTTTACATCGAAGCTGACTAGTATTTCCTCTTCCTCTGTTTTAGTGGTTTTTAATCGTCTCACTAATTCAAATGAATCTACTATTCTAGCTTTTGAGTTGCCTCTTGTCGGTCTTAGTAGTGTCGAGAGAAACTTTGACAGTATATACGTTGCTGTGCTTCTAAAGTTTATAATTGGTCTTATTAGATATCCCCCTTTATGCAATTTTATCTTGCCATATATCCTAGGTATATTACATGATTTTGGCATAATTTCGAACCACTTTTGACTTACCAATTACTTCTTCAAACTGTATTCTAAAGCTAATATGAACAAATGGAAAGAGAGACTTATAACAGAATCTATATTCATTAAGGTCACACCGGATACATGTAACAAGGGTGTGACTCAGTACAACTGTCAACAACTTGGAATATAATTCTGAATACAAAAAGCATGAATGAACAAAAATATGAGCTATATATGTATGAGTACAAATCATAAATGTGTGAACAAAACAATTCCAACAGTGGTGTGAACACGGGCACTAATTTTGTTCGAAATATTACCAATATCAAAACTTATCATTGTGTGTGTAAACTTTTGAAATATAAATCATACTTTATTTGATATATTTCACAATGCTCCTACTTTTTACTGACATTAAGAGGATAATTATGTGAAGAAAAATCAGCATTTATTCAACAGCAAGGAACAAACGAAGTCTTAGGATGAATGTAAACACTGCACATTTTCCACACTGTCTATCATATTCAGAAGAAGAGGCAGACAGTGTTGACGGAACTTCAAGTGAACATATATATGAGAGAGAGAAAACCGATGAAGACATCTAACCAGCAACCACAATAAGAAGTGCTTATCACTATCAAGACAGGAAATTTGAAAGAGGTCACGCCCCAATCACTTATATCGGCGACATCGATTCAACTACAGACGGCATGGAGGAAGATAGAGAAGGCATTGATCAGAAAAGTGAGACAAACATTTGTTACTCAGAAATCAGAGTGGAAATCTTCTACAACCAGCAACAAAAAGAAGATCTGAATTTTCAACACTCATGGCAAGCCAAGTGCTTCGGTGGCACAGCGGTAGAATACACGCCAACCACGCCACACGCGGTTCGGGGTTCCAACACCGGCCGATGCAGTCATCTACGTCACTAAGCCAGTAAATAATAAGACCGGTGAAGAGGAAGGGTTGGCCATGAGGCTAGCAACCCCATCCCGTTAAAAATAAACACCACTGCTACCGAAACTTCATTGTTCTGGCTTGAAGACCTAAGTCGGTCGGTCGGTCGGTTTTTGACATAGAACTTTGCACATATATGCAGCAGTTCAAGTCGCCACACTCCATGTAGCACGCAAAGCAAGAGAAGAAAGTAGAAGAAATGCATAATATAGACAGTAAACAGAGGTGTGAGACAAAGGAATAGTAATAACGGAGAACAAAACAGTTTAATTGGAAATCATAAGCCACTGGGGACGTAGGATATTCAACAACATATCTTCTGAAATAGAATATTCTGTCACAATGCTACATCACTTGAATTCAGTGTGACAAAATTCCTCAACCAAAATAGTGGGGGAGTCTGAAACTTCCCTGATAAATATTCAGCAAGAGAGAGACCTATTCGCTTCAGCTTACATCAAATCATCACCATTCATCGTCACCACCACCCACCCACCACCCTTGCATTTTCAGTGCTCCACGTTGACAAACACTGACCACACCGCTAATAAACCTGTTCACTCTCACTCACTCAACTCATCTGATTGAGACGATGTCATGAGTGGCTGAAAATTGCTAAATCATATAAATCGTGATCACCACGAACTAATAGACACACTGATCTAAATGACTTCTAGATATGCGGGTTATAATCACACACATATAATCACATATCTACCTGCAAATATACTAACCAGCATTCTAATTAATTCACATCATTCATTATTATTGACAGTTGTCATTGACAATGAGATGAGTTGAATTTTGTGTTTTGTGAGGCTTCCTCCCCTATTTAACTTCGGTGGTCATATATTTGTTTGTATTGCAAGTAGCTAGTGGAGACCGCCTTCATTCACTGAAGTATATAAAGGTGAGAGCAATGTGGAAAATGTCTGATCACGGAATCACGTTATCCACAAAATCAGTAAGTGTTATTGTTTTATTGTAACTAACTGTATTGTATCAGAGATAATGAGAAGTTTTCGCAGTGATGGATGGCGGTGTTTTGTTGACTAAAATCCGTGAATTTCTCAGTTTCCGAGGTGAATCGAATTGCGTCTACCGATGATGAGCTCATCTCGTAAGGAACGAAACGGTTGTCTGGTGTTGAGATGATTTCAGTATGTGTCTGAGTAGCAAGGAGTACCGATTTGATGTGAGTCTTATCCAACTACTCAAGTCCTTCTAGTAGCAGTGTGTATGGTCATGAAATCCATAACTCGACCCATAGAGTTGAATTCTGTTTCACATGGCTTATTTGGCGGTTAACTACAGTGTTCCCTCTGATGACAACGATAATTTAGAAATTGTGAGAAATGTGATCAAGGAAAATGATCTTGTTTGGATCCGGGAATCAGTGGTTCCACTTGATCCTTCTGAGCATATAACTGAAAAATAAAGCATCCAAATATGGAACACTTCTCAATGCTGCACAGATTATGGTCAGTGTATCACGATGGCATCAGTATTGATGAGGCGTCTCCACAGTCGAGTAATGCCACCGAAAAGAGATAGAAGTTCGCGAGAGTCGTATCCTTAAGGTTTGGTAAAAGTAAAATCGTATCATTCGTGATGTCTCGTGAAAGTTTATCTGGCACAGCAAACTAACTTTCATCATCATCATCATCCTCAATGTTCGTTTCCTGAGTTCCGAGTTGTGTGATGCAGAGTTTCAGTGAGACATTAGTGGTGCACTGAATTCCATGTTTTCGCTTTCTACTGGCTCCATAACCGTCCACAATCATTCCTTTGCTCTTCACTTGATGTCTTCCAAGTTACACGTTTCTGATGAGATTGGATCAAGTTAGTCTGGATATTTTCTCTTACTCCTCGTCTCTCACGAGGATATATCCTTCTTTGGCTGTCTTCACTCATGCAGGGTTATCGGATATACACATGTAAATACGAATCCTATTCCTGAAAGTCGTTCATGTATTTCCACGTATACTCTCAAGCATGTCTGTCATCTCTCATCGCTGTTTCTCCTAGCTTGATAAGAGATGGTTGTTGAACCAGCTAGTTGATGCACAGCATTCTAAGCGCAGCCAGTCAGCCTCTAAATCCAGCATAGTTGACCCTTTTCTAAACTCTATGTATTGAAAATCATAACACTTTCCGACGTCCATTGTATTGCCAATCATTCGGGTATTACTAGGAGTTTCGGAGTGTAATGTCACTCGTCGGTCTCCTCAGTGTGAGTAAAGTCCGTATATATTTTCCTCCACACATGTTTAATCGGGAATGTGTTGTTGTCTGGTCCACAAGCACAGCGACCCATTGTTGCGTATCGATTCTAGCATGCCACCTAATATTCAATATCAGAGTTGACACCACATACACATTAGCCTCGGATCCCAATCTGAGGACATGCCCACTTCCTGTGTAATAGCCATATCTATTCAGGATCTGCAAACACATTTTTACGTGAACACTAATCACCTCTCACTTCTCTTACAGGTCACCAGCAATCATGAGGAGTCGATGGTTCACTGTCTCACTCAGCCTTCTCTTATCATGTCTGGCATATGTTGAGAATACACCATCTAGATACAGACATATGGCAAATGAATATCCGAACAACGGTGTACAATACGAACCACCCAGTTCCGAGGTGAACATAGACATTATCGCAGCACAAACACTTTACATGTTTGAAAAGTTTGAAACATTCTTGCAGGCATATGAAGAGTGGAAGCAAGGTGGAGGCTTGAAACTTATAAAAACAGTGATCAAGGACATCCCGACAATTCAAGCATTGGCAAACTCACTGCCACAGGTGTATCCGGAATACGGTGATTTCAATGTGACCTATGAATATGATTCAGAAGATTTGGGTCCGTCCGATATTGATTATCCTGTCTACTGATACGAAGTCGAGGAGGTGTACACAAAGTGACAGTGAAGCATCAGTGTAACACAGAACACTGAACACTGCGAGTGACCGAAAATGCATTGTGATGTGATTGTATCGAGGAAGAGCTTCACAGAAATGCAACTTGAATGTTCTGAATGTAAATTAATATTGTTAAAATAAATTCGAATATTTCTGTCATGGTGCTGTCAGTCTTTCTCGACCATGAATTGACCGTCTGATACTTGTCTACTAAGTTCAAAGTAGACTCTTCGTTGAAGGAAACGCAGTTCCTGGAGTTCGAAAGTTTAGAGTTTGATGATCAGCGATTAATGACTGATGTGATGACGAGTTAAGTGGTCTGAAGTGTGAAACTATTCTCGTTGATGTATGGTGACTTTCTGAGACGGTATCATGGTATTTGCTTGTATGTTGTGATGAATACTCGCCAACCACACCAGTGATGCAGGTTCGATTTCAGAGTGACGCACTCTTGAACTTCACCTCTTCTAATAATCCCGTAGGAGAGTGTTTAATTAGTTTATAAGGCTGACATCCCCTCCTAGTGAATAGAATAGCATCCATATCCCACTGGAGTGGGTAGAAACAGTTAAAAGTGAGATGAAGTACGCGAATCCGCTTTGTTTTTTTTTTCAATCTTAGTCAAACGCAATGGAAGTGCATCTTTCCAACTGTGACATATGCATATCTTTGCATCATCTCTCACTGAACATTTTATCGATTTTCCATTGACAGTATGAAGTTTTCGAAGATTATCTACTGTGTGCCATGATTATATTCGTGTAATTATTGTGGAAATATTCGGGTTAAATTTCGATGATTGCAGTTCTTATAAATTGTCCTCTACCGTCTTCATAATATTTTCTTCATGTCTCGTGTGTATTTTCACTTGAATTCAGCAAGTTGTTACTAGAAGATGCATAGAACAAGTGTCCAGTAACTGTTACAATTAAAATTTGGTGAGACATTGTATGAAGTGAGGCTAACCGATCTGATATTTGTCGGATGTTTTTCGAAGTTGTATGCGTTTAGCAGTATCATAGGTGTGATGCACAGTTTTCAAAAGATCCTCTGTGAATTCTTAGTGGTAGTGAGTAGTAGTAGTAGTGAATACTCGCCATTAGTTGAGTCCACCAAATAGTATAACTGAGCTGAAACAAAGGACTGTTTACCTGTTTGCGAGTAATATAACAAGCAAAGTGAATTCACCCTATCTGAGCTCAATGTAACCACATGCTACTCATGAGTAGAATAGAATCACAATATTGATAATTAGGATAAATATTGGGCACTGAGGTAGAGTATCACTGCATTATGGATTACATTATATTCTGATAAGGTCATACATCATCTTTTCAACTTAATGCTAGATAAGACGAAGGCAGACTTGTTTTGAGAACAATATGCATTGATCCGAAACAGTACGAAGAGATCACAAATAAGCTTGAGAAAATCGTGCAGACCATGTCTAATTGGTCGAAAACAGGTTAAAAACTTTGTAGCCACACAGGCTGATAAGCGAAACTTGACGTTACCTGTGGATAAATTTGACGATATGAAGGAAGTCACTGAACATATTAAGACGGGTCCATAGGAGGAAATTAAGAATACATTAAAACATTAAGATACAATAATGAATAAGGTTAAAAGGTCTACAGTGGATTTATTACTGAGAATGAAGCCGTCACTAGGTGAGTCTAAATGTTTAATTTAATGCCTAAATTTAACAATGCTATGAAATGCACATGTAACAACAGAAGACAAGGGCCAGGCAACAGATCAGTTTTATTACGAAAACCAACAGGTATTTATATGTATTTTACGTACATTAATAGGCTTCTGCCCGCAGAAAGAAGGCGGTCTTCTGATTGGTTGTTTGCAAACAAACGCAGTCTTCTGCTTTCTCGTTTTCGATATTTCTCGGAAATGCGAGCCACTTGTCTGCGAATCATATTTGTCCACGTCTAGGTCAGCTGTGATCGGTTGTTGAATCAGCCTAGATTAATTTCTACCAATCAGCGTAGATCAATGTCTACCAATTGGCTAGCAGCTTGCTCTCACCACACACATACTGCGTTATCCCACACGACCCACAGTGGGTTTCAGGAATACCTTGCTTATGAATTATCAAAACACTTAGCTCTAATATTATGCCCCATTAGAAATCGTTCAAACTCCAGACTACCTAACTAATTCACATGAGGTGAAAAATAAACTAAATGGCATTCAACTAGAGAATAATGGAACAATGGTTAGTTTTGATATAATTAGTGTGTACACTAAAATACCAAACAATATGCCAGCCTAAGGAGCACTTAAAAAAGAACTAACTGCAGATCCTTAACTCACTCATAGGATGAAGTCGCCCATTGAGGAAATTATTTTAAGAATTCAGTTATGCTGCCTCACATCTACTATCTTTAAATTCGAAGGAAAAATACATAGACAAACAGAAGGTGTAGAAATTGGATGGATCACCAATATCCCCTATCATAGCAGATATATTTATGGAGAGCTGGGAAAATATTGCTCTTAATACAACATTTAATCCTACTCCGAAAATATGGTGGAGATATTTGGATAACTGACACTTTAACACACAGTGTTAGAAACAGAACATCTCTCTCTCTATCTTCTTGACACATATAAACTCACTAGTAGAGGGAATAAAATTCACATTTGAATCGGAAAGGGAACGAGGAGAATTAGCTCTCATGTTAGATTGTAAAATAAAACGAACAGAAGAAGGTGAACTGCACGCTAACGTTTATAAAAAACCAACGGATCCAGCTAATAGATATTTAGACTTCAATTCATCTCGTCCGTTATCCTTCTGTGAAGGCAGGCTTAGTTAAGTGTCTACCAAAATGAGCAGTACCGCTAAGTAGTACAAAAAATACCTAAATGATGAAATAAAGCAGATAGAAGAATAACTGGCTGGTGTTAAATATCGATCCCATAAAATTCATTAGGAAGATCAGAACAGGTCAAAAGCAAAACAAAATTAATGAGGAAACTAATAATGATAACATAAAGAAGAGAGAATATAAGGCATCCACAGTATTTTCACAACATAAGGAGGAGAAATTTGAGACCCTACGTAGGATTCTTAGCAAAGCAGGAATTAGAGTGACTTTTAAAGCTACAAACTCACTCAGGCAGAACAAGCTCTATTAGTTAAAGGACCTAGTTGACCCAATTAGACAAAATAATATAATTTACAAAATACCCTGCAATGACTGTGAGGTCAACTACATAGGTCAAACTAGTAGGTCAGGGGTAGTGAGATTGTCGGATATAAGAATTTAGCTAAGGTAAGAATGGTTGACCCAGAGAAGATAAGTAATCTAGCAAAAAGCTCAGCAATTGCAATGCATGCATTAACACACAACCAAGCAATAGGGTGGGAAGGAGAGGGTTGAAATTCTAAGAAGTAATATAAGCAGGTAGAGAGAGATAGGTTGATTACTGAATCCTTGTTCATTGAGTCTACACCTAACACACACGCTAAATAAATGGCTCATCACTCATTCCGGAAATATGGAAAATACTACTACCAATCAAGTGATGAAATATAATGGAGTTATGTAGACGAATTTAGAAAGTTGTGTGAGTAATGTCTTGATATTGGGATTTTGAGCAGTAATAAATTGTGCTCGACACGTGGTCATCAGTAAATAATACTGTAAAACAACACTGTGTGAGACTTTATCAAAACAAATTTTATCCATGATGGAAGTTAGCATACAATTTTAACGTACTTTTGTGTCTCAAAATGAGACAGTCCTGCAGGAAAGAGTATTGAAGTAACATCAGAGAGTGAAATAGAATGAAAGGATGATGAGTTATCTTGAAGTATTCCAATACATAGTCATAAGGTAGGAAAATGAAATTCCTGGGTGTAGAAAGTCAAGAAAAATGAGGAAGAAACAGTCCGAGAATAAGGAGTGATCAAGAAGGGAAGGAGTTAGCATGGTGCTTGACTGTCTTGGATGGTTTCTTTTCGGCCAAATAGGTCAGTCAGTTTAAAGCCGTTGTATTGAGATTGACCTAATAAACCGAAGAAGAATTGTACGGCTATGTTTTCAATCAATTTGCTTCTGAATTTTCGAGGCTCATCTCCTCGGTATCCGATGTCCATCAGCAGTATGTCACTGGTGCCCGAGTAGAACTTGGTCAGTAAGGTAGAATGGGACAAATTTGTGAAATTAATGAAAACAAAACAAGTAGTTCAGGGAAGAGTCTCTTTTCGACGAATTCATTCACTCAGCCAGGTGTACAGTCGCAATAATATATGTGCTTATTTCCTTTGTATGTGTGCGTATGCATACAAGGTTTGTCCGATGAAAATAAAAGCGAGTTAGGGTTATTGTTGTCAAGACATTTCAAAAATGTGATGAGTAATCAAATTGTAACTAGGCGGTTGGTAAGGGGAGGTTGAAGGTTGGTAAAAGGGTAGTGGTGATGAGTTGTCAAAGGAACATATTTATTAACACATAAAAGAAGTTGAATAAGCGTAATATAGTTACGTAATAAGATGAACAGCTTAATGAATGAGTTGTGATTAGGATACACACAAAAACAAAGAAAAATATGGAATTATGTAAGAGTTCTGAAAAGTTCAGGTATTATAAGGAGTTGGATAAGAAGAAAATACAAACAAGCACACAACTATCAAGTCAGCAGAAATCAACACGATTGTTACCATGAAATCTGAAGTGGTTGGATGAATTTCTTTTGCCTGCAAAACTCCGAACTTCTCAACTGAATGACTAAGGTTTCAGCAATGCACAGTGGAGACGAAGGCGTATTACCTACAGTAGGTTGTTTCTCCCACCAATCAGCATAAATGGGAGAAATTTGAAAGAAGCAACCTCCTTTATCTACCTACCTGCCTGAGAAGCATCGTTTAAACTACAGGCACACAGAAATGAAGCGGAGATCAAAGGAGCGAGGCAAAGCAAGCTTTCATTACTCTCATGTCTGTGTGGACATCAACAGCACTGAACATGAAAATGAAAATAAGATGCGCTTTCTCAACTCCGTTTTGGAGTAAGTGCTACTTACTACACGGATCAA